GACAGGTTCCACTGCAGGAGCCCAAGTGGGGACTATATCCCCGGCTCCAAGAACACAGTCAGGGAGAGGGGGCTGGCATATCCTTATCCCTCAGTGCTGGCTCCATGACCAGTGCCAGTGCCAGCTTTACAACAGTGGGGCCAGTGCTGGGAGATCCTTATCTCCCTGCACCAGCTGGCACTGGGAGATAAGGGTCTCCCAGTGCTGATCCTATGGTCACCGATCTTTTTTCTTTTTGATAGATCTGAAACCACGTGGAACTGCTCAGACCTTCTGATCTAGCAAGGCCAGTTGCCTGCATTCCCACAGAGAAGCTTCTCTAGCAGAGTCATCGGTGCTATGGCCTCCATAGCTGCACTGGGATTTCATCCTGTCTCCTTCCTACTGCAGTGCAGTCTCACCCCAGCTGTCTGCACTCTGATTGTTTGGGGGCTCCTGTTTCTCTCTTTCTTTTTCTTTTTTTTACCCTAAAGGAAATGGGTTAGGCCTTCTTCTGATACCATGTGGTGTGAAGGAGACAAAGACACATGCAATTATAATATGTGTTGTCATCAGACCCTCTTCCAGGGCCGTACCATCTTGATTCTTGCTGATCTCATACAGCCTCTGGTCCCCTCTAGTAGATTTGGAAGACCAGGGCTCTATGACCACTCCACAGATTGTAGCTCCACTCAACAACCACATTAAGCAAGCACATGGTCAATCATAAGATAAACCAGCCTCCTGGCCTCTCACTAGCCCAATGTGACTGCTCGCACAACACATGAAGCAGAGCTGAGGCACTGCTGGTAGATGGCAGTCTGCCACTGGAGAGGAAAGAGGAACTGCTGTTCCACACACAACACTATAGGATGGTTCTCCCACTTATATGCTCACAATGCAGTCAGAAAGATGACAAGGACCAATGTACATTTCAGCTGAAATTCTAGACTTATCTCAAATCACATAAAGAATTCTGTGTTCCACCTGACCTACAGTCAACCATGGCTCTGTGCTCTTCAAGAGGCTGGTGGGGTGTTGACACCTCAAGGAATGGAAAGTCAGAGTTTCCTTCTATGGAGGGAGCAACAACGGCCGTCTTCTTACTGGAATTCATCCAAATACTACAGGACCCATTGCTGGAATTCTACTTCATCCTGCCAAAGGTCTCCTGGAACAGGTCATAGTTACTCTCAACAGGTAACTCCACTGAGACACAGAGACCTTGCACCAAGCACTCCAGATGTGTGCAGAGAGGTCCCTAAGGCATCATTCATCAGTCCTACCCCACATCTGTGACCCATTTTCCTGGTGCCTCCTCTCAGCATGCTATCTTCTGGGCCTCCCTCAGCATACAGGGATGTACTATTTTGTCCATCCAGAAGAAGTGGGGGGACCTGAATTGAAGGAATAAAATATGTCTCCAGCAACACATAGAGGAGGCACAAGGTAACTTTTACTGAGTGGCATTAATCAGGAACATGGTGGTCCGTATATCCTAGACTGAAAGGACAGTCAACTCAATGGAAGACAAAGGCAGCTCTGGGGTCCATGCATTGAAGATGTATTTGCAGCATCATAGTGAGTGAGCAAAGCAAGTACCTGGACTCCTATATGGCATGCTTAAGAGTTTGAAAAATAAACTCATGCAATTTCATAGATTCATAGATTGTCAGGCTGGAAGGGACCTCAAAAGATCATCAGGTTCAGCCCCCTGCACCAAGCAGGAAAATTAACTGTGGGGCAGGAGATCCCAGCAAGGTGACTGTCTAGTCTCCTCCTGAAGATTTTCAGGGTAGGTGATTGCACCACCTCTGGAGGGAGCTTATTCCACAGTCTGGATACCCTGAGGTAGGAATGCTTGACGTGGCACTGTTAAGGCCTTATGAAATGGATCTTAACATCAAGGAATACAAAGGAGGACAAGACAACCCCTAGAAACACAAACCCATATTAAGCTGCAATATATTAAAACATCTGTACTCTGCAGCACTGGCAACTGCAAATTCCATTTGCCTGCTATACATAGCTGCAAAAGCAGAACATTCTGTATCATGTCATGGAAAGCATGTTCTCCATTTAATTCAGTTATTTTAGCTGAACATATTTATCTTGACAATCAGACTATCTGAGGAAGTGATTTTCTTGTTTTAAATTGAAAATCAAACCTTTCTAGAATAGAAAATAAAATCATAGCCATCTCTTCTAGTGAGATTTAGGAGGGGGGGGTTGCA